AGAGAGAGAGAGGGAGAAAAAAGAGAAAAATTATCAGAAGTTATCTTAAAGGAAGAACAATGTTTGATTATATCGAAGCAAAATTTGTTCGTCAAATATTACGTCAAATACGTTTAATATATACTTATGTATCATTCAAGCAAAACAAATTACGCAACAAAATTACGTATTCATAATAATGTAATTAGAAGTAATAATTAGAATTAAAGAAATGACGTAAAAATGGAATGCATTTAGGGCTTTTTTTCATCTTTTTTTTTGTTAAATAACATTAATAAGCAATATAACTTCAATGCTTACATTTTTTCTTACAATGTAGTACAAGTAAAAAGTAAATCAATTAAGTAAAAAAATAAAATACATCGGTTAAGTCACGTAAAAAGCTTCACGTATCACAATTACGTAAAAAGTTCACGTATCACAATTACGAATATTCGTAACTAAACGATTAAAATGTTAAAATTACGTATCATATGTAACAACAGGGTGTGATTTCCGTATCGTACCATTGCTATTGATCGGAATAGTAGCACGTGGTATACGTGATCGTTTCATTGGCGTAGGAATAGAATGCATTATTGCTTTTTCATCAAATGATGCCAACGATGATTCACTGCCAAACGAATGTAATTCTAGTGTTGGTAAGGTTGCTTTTAACTAAAATTTAAAAATTTCGTCAAAAAAAATTCTTTAAAATATTGTTTAAAAAAAATTAATTTTAAACATTTTGTAAAAATGTTTAAAAAGTTACAAATATTTCGAAAAGAAATATACATTTTTTATAAACCTTTTTTTTTTTTAAAATAAACTTTTCGAATGAAAAAATTATAATTTGAAAATTAAATTGAAAATTTTTTCCTATGCATAAATTTCAATCTTTCCTCTTTTTTTTTTTTGGTAATTCAATCGATTTTTGTAACTTTAACTTGGCATTTTTTCTTTCATCCTCAAATGCAATTGGAAATTTATTGGTAGCAATTTTAAATTTATATTTTTTGATTTAATTTCATGTTCATATTTTTTTTTTGCAGAAATTTTGTTAACTATTACGCTTACTGTGAAATTTACACTTCTTTTCAAAAAAAAATTTGAAACAATTTTTTATTGTGTAATTACTATTTATCAGCTAAGCCTGATCAGTAAAGATACGGAATGGAATAATTCGGTTTAAATGTAATCTTAGGTAAACCTGATCAGTAAGGATACGGAATGGAATGATTCAGTTTAAATGTAACCGAACAATTGATTTTTTTTTTTCGTTAAAACTGGAAGGATATATTCACATTAAACAATAATTAAATATCATTTCATATTTTTTGTTTTTTTTTTAGGAAAAAAAAGAGTTGATAGAAATATTTGCTTAGATAATTTTTCAAATAAATCCAAAAATCTTTCCTTTCCTTTTTTTTTTTTTCTAAGAGTAATTTTGAAGAATAAAAGAAAAAAAATGTGAGGATAATATTAATTATCATGAAAAGAAATGATACCTTCATTTTCTTGAAGGCTAAATCGATACCGGACGGAATTTTTCGGTGAGTTAATAATTCTGGTTTTGTGATGATAATGTCTAATCGATTGAAATCAATGTAACCAATTTGTACTCGTCGTTCACCATTCAAAACATACGTTGTATTATAACTATTATCATCTTTTTGATTTCTATAAATATTATCATTTATCTTTCCTTTATTGTTAAGCATAAAATAATTATTATTCTTATTTATTTATTTTTTTTATCAATCTTTATCAATCAAAGAATTATTCTTTATTAATCATAATTAATTTCAATTTTAGTTTAATGATATTACTGCAAGTTACAATCATATCAGTTATTGAGTAAATTGGTTGTTCGATATTTGAATAAATCTATCATACTTTGATAATGTTAATAATTATTAGTAATAACATTCATAAGTTATTTTAGTATGATAGTATTCAGATAACAAAATAATATTTGAAAACGAATTTTTCCATTTTTTCCTTTTTTTTTTTTTTTGATCGCATTATTAAGAATAATAATGTTATGGAAATTTTTGTAAAAACTCTGAATTGAAAAAAAAAGGAAACTCTCAATTAAATAAAACTTTCAATTAAAAATTTGATTGAATTATTTCAGGCTCATTACTATCAAAACATGCAATAGGTATTAATTCTAGTTCAAATTCTAAATCAAAAATTTACTGCATAATTTTAGACAAATTTCACCAAATCATAGAACAGGTATATTAATTCCAGCTCATGTTCTGAATCAAAAATTTTATTCAATTATTTTTAGAATCAATACTATTAAATCATGCAATTGGTATTTATTCTAGCTCAAATTTTAAATCAAAAGTTTATCGCATAATTTTAGACAAATTTTCATCAAATTATGTGATAGGTACTAACCGTAATTCATCATCTGTTATTGTATCTTTATCCATGCAATCATCCTCATC